TTTATTTGAATTTGTAGAAAGTAAAGAAATAAATGTTTTAGATTCTGTCATTGTGCTTCATGTAGACAACTTGTTTAAGTTCTTAGAAATGTTTATAAAGCTGAGATTTTAATTTTCTAGATGTTATAACTTCTAAATAGTTTCATAAACTGCAATGATATTAATATGGCAAACTCATATTTATTTTGATTGTTTTATTCTTATAATACTGATTACACAAAAATCTTTACCTTTTTTTTTACTACGGTTTTATTGAAATATCTGCTGATTTGGTCTGCAATAGTAAAATAGTGGTATTTCTAAAAGAATATATTTACTTAAAAACAAAAGATGGATATTCTAGTTAATTAAAGAATTTGAAATAAGTTATAAAGTTACTGAAAGCTATATAAATATCGCAAAAATATATCAGGGGTGAAATATATTCCAGACTGGTGCATCGAGATAGAGGGTGGCCCCATCTGGGGCCTCATAATTTAGCCTAGGGGACCCAAAATGTGGCCCTATATATATATATATATATATATATATAAATCAAATATGTGGTGCAGTTTCAATTTATATTACAATCTAGTTCATGCCACATTGACTGATAAACTCCTACAACAAAAAAATTCTCAAATTACCATATTAGTAAAAAACGCACTTCCTTAAATTTTCAAAAAAATTCAACCTTAGCGTTGCGACTGCACGCTCCAAAAGTTTTTATCCGTTAACAATAACACATTTCTAACAACATATTTCGATTCGCATTTAATTTTTCGTTTTTGATACTACCTGGATTTACTAAAGACAAAATAATTTCCATGCCTGACGATGACTGAATGGACAGTTGAAAGTACTATCAGATTAAAAAAAAGACCTTATACAACTTGTAGTTATTAAAAGCAAGGACCATAACATTCATCGAGTGATTTGTAGGTTAATGCAACTTTAAAAATTTTTTTATATCATTAACTTTACTAATCTACTTTTTGTATGAATGATTCATTGTAATATATATATATATATATATATATATATATATATATATATATATATATATATACCACTCAAAGAGACACACACTTATATAACCTTAAGACATCTCTGTACAGTATGTATAAGCTTAAGACCCTCACTCTCTTGATAGAAACTTATTTATTAAAAATAAATTTCGCTTTATAGTTAAAGAATAAAGACATATTGTGTAAAGTTAGTGCTCGTTACGAGCGAAATTATTCGAGTGTACTCGGGTAATAATTATTTTCTGATTTCAGTTTGGTGATGCACTTAGCTGCATAAAACTTACCGGCTCCTGGTCAGAAATTTATGACAGAATTCGGTAATTGTTTTTCGTAAATTCTTTAAGGTCCCTTTCGTATAGCGTGGCCAAAGCTGAAGCATAATGGTTATCTAAAATCCGTTACTGCGTTGAGGAATTTAAAATAAAGAGAGAAAAAAAAAACAATTTTAATAATTTTACCTGTCTAAATGTATACAATATCTGCAAATGGACTTTCCTCCCAGCTGGAAAAAAAATAGAATGACATCTTTACCAAATGAGCCACGACAGAGCACAAAGCGTTTTATTAATTTTTTTTTTCTCTAACGCTCGACATCGTAGGAAAACGCCATTCAATATGGACATCAAAAAGGTTAAATATTTTTCCGTATTTACTTCTGATTGCATTTGTACGGTATGATGCCGAATATAGAGATAGCAAAATTGCGTTGCCCAAATCTTCCACCTACTTATGTAATTTTTTTTTTCAAAATCTGCATTTGAAATCATGATTAGAGTGAGACAAAAAAAACATGTCAGATCCACGCATTATAATATTTTTAATTAAATAACTTCTCTTAAATAACCGTTCGTATATTTTAGAAAATAAAAAAAATTATCTGCTTATCAAAATGATTTCGGGTGCCGAGACGCACATGTTAATTATGCTGTAAAATTATGGCAACTTTTCTAGACTGACCGCAGCGAAATGGGCCGCGTACGACTGTGTTGGTAGCGTCGCAGAGGCAAATACCAGTTGCATTCAGTCTGTTCGGCTACAATGTTTCGTTTCTTTTTTTTTTAATTTTATTTTCTTTCATTTTAGAATTCGACGTATCCATTTAAAACGATTATGCTAATTTTCGGGCTTATTTATACGCCGCACAAATTTCGCAATTATTGCGGATATGATGCAAAGAAAACAAATCGAAAGTCTCTCTTTTCGTTATATTTCTCTCTTCGCGAAGACGTTAAAATTCATACCGCACGAAACACGCACAGATATATATATATATATATATATATATATATATATATAATATATATATATATATTGAAAATAAAAAAAAAAATATATATATATGCTAAAATATAGTGTTGTGCATTTACGGCCAAAAAGTTACCAAAGATGGAGCGGATGTAGTTATAAAGATATAAATGTGGAGACTGAAGTCAACTACAGGCGGCAACAATGTGTTTCGTCTCTCTTTCTCTCATATATATATATATATATATATATATATATATATATATATATATATATATAATAATTTACTTGTCAATGGACTTAAGTTTTTCAGATAGGTTGAAACCTATAGAAGGAGTTTTCTGTTCAAACGCAGCTATTGTCAGTACAGGGACTTATATGCACACGTGCACATATATATAGGAATGGTGTATACGGAATAAATTCCAATAACCAAAAAATACTATTCTTAAAAGAGTGCTCATTACAGAGTAGAGCAAATATAATTATTTATTCGAAAAGTATAACAGAAATTCGTTATAAAATCACTACAAAAATAGCCATTTTGTTTCAACACTTCTGGTGTCTTATCAAGTGTTGGTGTAGAAAAAATATGTTTTAATTTTCGAATAAATTATATATATATATATATATATATATATATATATATATATATATATATATATGTGGTCGGGGAGCAAAGTGTCTCTGTAGATACACCCTGAAGTGACTCGGTGATCATGACTCTCCACAGATTCCTTTTCTTTATTATGTATGAATTGCCATCATGACTAGTGTAATGTTTTTCCCGCTGCCTTGGCTACTGGCTGCCACCC